CGACTCACTTGAAGTTCATAGCATTCAATTTCCGAGAAAAAACTTTTTTGATCCGATAGATGGATGATCCTGCTTTGTTTTCTCTCTTGCTACCCTGATCTACGATGATGCACGTAGCCTTGATGTGTTTCCCCGGAAGCAAAACATCTTAGCTTCCTTTGGTTCCCAGGAATGGTTTGGAGAAACGCTCCACCAAGCTTGATGCCGTCAAGAAGCGCTTTGAAGATGCAGCAGATTCTCTGACCAGTTTGCAGAAGCAGCTTCTTGCTGCATCCCAGCATGCGATGTCTCCTCAGGATGACCCAAATGATCCACAGATTCTCTTTTGAACCTTGTCCAAGCCTTCTGTCGGTCACATCCAAGGTTGTTGGACAAAATCAACTCAGTGTACCTAACGTTGGTGGATGCTACTGTGAAGATCAACGAGCAGTATATCACGGGGATTGTCCACGGGTATACCAAAGAGTGACTTTGCCAAACAAAAACAAACCTACCACCGTGCAACCGTGCATGGAAGAAACACCAGGAAAACAAACACAAGACTACCACGCTGCAAGCCCAGGTGTGAAAGCAATCTGAAGGTGCTGTACGCTGATGCCACGGCAAAGTTAGGGGCTTACTATGTGTGCCCAGACTTTGGCACCTGCTATGAGGGAGGTTTTAAACACACGCGGTGCATAGACCTGTTGAACTAGTGGGTCAAGCGCACATCAGTAAGAAAGGTAAAGCATGCCCACTCCTAGCCATAAATTTAAAGTGGTTTCTTCCCTTGGCCAAGGGCAACGGAAGCGATGAATTTGCAATCCCGCTGCAGGCCGGGCTGGGCTTTGGTTTGCCAATTTGTCCCTCAGAAGTCAGAACTTCAGAGCCCAATTCAAAACTCAGAACTCGGAATCAGTGGCCCCCAACTGCCCCACCGGTGCAGGCCGCAGATGCCAAAGGCAACTGCGACGAGCAGGCACTCCAAGCGTCCAAAGGCCAAGAGTAAGGCTGTCGCTAAGAAAGCTGCAGCTAGGCCAAAGAAGTAGATTCCTAGGCACAGTCCAGAGCAAATCTTTTTACATGTTCGATGGGTTCCAGTGTCGACCTTGGTGCGGAGTTCACTGTCCTATCAAAATATTTCCTTATAAAAAGTATCACTGGTGGTTATAGACATGCCAAGACGACAAGGTCATGTTTCTAAAAGGCTGGGGCACTCACAGCCCACCACGGCCAAATTAGCTTTTGGCACTGCTTTCTTGAAAGCAGGAGCTGCTCGAACGGCAGGGTAGGGGAAGAAGCCCTGTTTGCACAAAAGTGTCATCGCAGAGCCAGGAAAATATGCACGCAAATCTTACGTCCCAGCGGAAGGTTGCACGTGAGAAAGAGGCTAAACTCTCCGTGTAGGACGATGTAGGGGGTATGTATCCGAGCGATTTATCATGTAAAAATAGCATCTTGATATGAAAAACGATTTAGTGAAGTCCCAAAAACGATAACATGGGAATCATACCATATGTGAAAGCATTGTGGGAAGTGAAGGAGTGGTGTACATGACATGATGGTGGATACCTGTTCTAGAAGCATCTAGATCATCTAGGCTCTCAGTTGTGGGGTATGCGTCATGCCCAGCTCACGCAACGGAAGATGTGCAAAAGTATGCTGACACTCTTGATCCTGGCCAATTTCTTTACTTCTGATTACCGCAAACGGTTTTGTATCCAATCACGTATTGTTATGTTGTAACTAGCTGGATTTGGATGCTCTTTTTGTCTCGCCATTGTTCAAGCCTTCCGGATGAGCGTTTTGTATTTTCGCGCTTTCATGCAAGCAGTGACGATGACAACAGGTCTCCTTTCCAACTTTCCTTGGTTCATGCCATTTTCCCAAACATGTTTCCCCTCTTTGAACGATAACGAAAACGATAACAAAACGATAAGCATTTCTTGACAAAATGTCCTTCGCTGATGGATGGCCCAGATGCGAAAAGATTCTTGAGATGATTCCTTGCCGATGAATATTATCACTTGCTTATTGTGATCTTTTCGCTGCTATGCAGATTCTTTTGCGGCGCTCCATTGCTTTAGTCAATCTCGGTTCATTCATCTCGGGCACAGCTGCACCTGCAGGTCTGGTTTGACGATCTTTATCCTAGATGAAGATAGCCAAGGCAAAGGCGTTGAACCATGTCGATGGTTTGCTACGCAGACGCTGGCGAGTGAATGAAAGGCATGGAGCATGTCGCTGTGAGAGCTCATCCGGGCTTCTTCCAACAAACTAACTTCAAAGCTTGTTTCTGAGCTGGAAAAAAGATGGTGGAACTGCGATTTGCAGTTGCATTGGCAGGTATCGTACCACACCATACAGTTGAAGCGCTGGAAAAGAAAGCGCAGGGCAGTCAAAGATGCTGCAGACGCTGAAGTGGAGGTGTAAAGAGGCTTTCCACATGCAGTTTGCCAGGGGATGCGGATGATGCAATCAGGATATACTGTAAAACGATATAGCGAAGTCCCAAAAACGATAACTTTGACCCTAAATCACATTTTTTAAGTGAGGTTTTGCCGATCGCTCACATGGTCAATACCAAACAAACAATTTTTTCTGATTTTGGAAATGCTGCGCCGCATGCCAGGAAACTCTGATGAAAACCGGCATGCAGGCCCTCACACCCGAGCATATGCAGAAGCAGTAGCTGATGGGGTTAAAATCTCAGATTTCAAAACGATCACCATCACTGCCAATGATTCTGTTTGTTATTTCCATGTTTCTTTTTTCGGGCCCTTATTGCCATCCATCTGGCCCAGGTTCCCACCATTACCGCAGAAAGATTCCGTCAAGCTGCCCGGGAAGAAAACGGTTTTCGAGTTGAACCTGAGAGCAGCAAGGGTGGGCAGCCTTCTTGGAAGAAAAATGCATCAAGAGAAGCATGGAGAATGTTCAACCGCTGTCAGATGGGCTGGCGGGTTCCGATTTCAAAATATGTGTTCGATACTGGCATGGATTTTACAATGGATATCCCTTACATTGCCCCAAAGGACATTATTGGATACATGCTGGAGAAACACCCCGAACTCCTGGTTGGTGGGCTGCAGAGTTCTGGAGAGAGGGCTTCCCACATCAAAGCCTTTTGGTCTGCATTTCGTTTGACTGAACCCAACCACATGGTGTTTCGAGAGCATCCAGATAGTTTAGAATATGTACTACCTCTTTGTCTTCATGGTGACGAAGGGCGTGGCAAAAGGAGAAGCAAAACAACAGTTGTCTCGCTCGAGACTCCTTTTGGAGTCATGACCGCTGTGAACTTGAAGAAAAGGAAACATGAAGACTGTCAATGCAATCCTCCTGAAAACATCCGGAGGAAATAACATTGTCCGGATAGGGGCAGGGCAGGGATGACTGACAGAACCCACACTGTGTTGGATGGCCAAGCTACAAACACAAAGGGGCATTCCTTCCTCCAGCATTTCCCACTCTTTGTGCTGCCTGGCCCGGTGACTGAAGCATTTCCAACTTTGGTTCCAGCACTACTTGAAGAGATAAGTGAACAACTTCGGGTCCTTTTTTTTGATGGCATCACATCACCGAGAGCAGCAGGTCGCACCTTCAATGTGGCTTGCATAGGGCACAAGGGCGACCTCAAGTGGTTCACGATTGTTGGTTGTCTCGCACGGAGTTATGAAAGACAAGGATTTGTTCAGCACATACCTTGCTGTCACCTCTGCATGGGCGGCTCTCGTGGAATTGAATGGGAAGATTTTTCTGAAGATCCCATATGGGCAAGGACAATTTTGACTGTCACGCCGTTCGACCCGCAAAATCCATCGCCATTTCGACGAATACCTGGATGCCCCTTGTCAATTGAAAACATCACTTGTTATTTCTATTTAGCTGAACATGTTTCAATGCTAAGAAAAAGGAATATCTTTTCCTGCACCGCACCCTTCAAATAACACAAATTAGGTCCCTCTCTGGAAGCCATGTACAAGACCGACGTCTTCCACACTCTAAAGGTTGGGTTCCTCCGAGACTTTTGTGGTTCAGCCATTTGCTGTCTCAGCAACCTGGGATACTTTGGCGACGGCAATTTCCCATCATGTCTTCAGGCTGCCCATTGCAGTTTCAAAGGTTGGTGCCGCCGGACCGGGCACACCCCTGCTTTGAGAAAATTCACCAAGCTGTTTTTTAACTACAAGAATGCCAACAGCTACCCATGGGTGAATTGCAAGGGGAGTGACACCATGCTTCTAGTGGGGTGGTTGAACGCAGTGGCCGCTGATTTCAAAAGTTCTTTGCTGGACGATGATCACCAGGAGTTCATAGACCTATTGTTGCAAACAACGGCTGCAACAATGAAGTTCTTCAAGTTGCTTTATGCACATCCATGCACAGTGCCCAGGAAGTGTGCAATGCAGACTTACACTTTTGGAACGCAGCTCATCAATGGCTATGTTCTTTTGGCTGCCAAAATCCCCAACATTGGGGTGTGCGGTTTTGGAATCAAGCCTAAGATCCACCTGTTCAAACATATGTTGTACTCATATAAGCTCTTGCTACTCTCCGGCTGTGAAAGGTTTGTTAGTTTACTTCTATTCAACTGCGAGCAGAATGAAGATCTAATTGGACGAATGAGCCGGCTGAGCCGGAGGTTGGACAGCCGCCAGGTATCACGTAGATGTTTAGAATGTTACCTGCTGAAGGCAGGAATGCTGTGGACCCGCTTTAAGCGAACCCATGGTATTTGACAATCTTTAATCAAGGCTAAGGACAAGGAAACAATTTGTGTGTGGCTTCCCGGATTGGATGGTTTGGGCTTGGAGGTTGGGATACCCTGGAAAACCCTGAAACGGAGTTTTTTTGGGCAATCGACGTTTTTAAGGATAATCGATAAAATTTTCTATTGTTTAGCTAAACGGATAAAATTTTACATAGCAGGAGGGTGTAGGTATGTCTAGTAAAAATACATCTGGGAAATCTACATGAGTCATAGTTGGATGGGAATATCCCCAGTAAAACTGCTGCGCCTGCGGCCCAGATGGAGCCCGTGGCGCGTCAAAGGCGACGTCTACGGTGCGACTTTGGCGCCTCCATGAATGGTGGGGATAGAATGCTGGTTTTATGGTGATTTTATATGGTGGTTTAATGGTTTTATATGATTTTATGGTGATTTTTATCATGAAAATCTCATGGTTTGACATATGCAGAATGGATTTACCACACTGACACAATATGGGAGATCCCGTGTTTTCATGGAAACCCATGTAGCTTGCGGTGGTTGAATGCCAATTTGACCGGCAAAATTTTTCTGGGATCATCAAGGTTGGTGCACTGGGATTTCAGTAGGGATTTCAAGATGGAATTTGATGGAGTGTTGGGATGACCATCCATAAACAAAAAATGATATTCACCAATGAAAATTGGAAAATCACGATGGGATCTTCAGGGCGGGCGCCCTGCGCCCTGCGAAGTTGGTGAGCTGGATAAACGATGAGCTCTCGTAATGCGGATAGAAATCTATGAGCTTCAATGTCGTTACAAACCAACTCAAAGTGTGGGGCTTCATTTTGTAAGGAAGTTTATAAATCAAACTTCCGACTTATGGACAGATGCAGCAACAGTAGTGAGAGCAGTCAGAGAAGAGAAGAGTTAGAAGAGAAAGAGTCAGTAGAAAGAAGATCAGGGTGTGTGAAAAGATAAAAAAAGTCACGAAACATTGCGTTTTTCCAATGTTTCCTGGCTCAGGCGGGTCGAAAATTAGGCTCGCTAAAGCGGTGCGGAGCCATCTGGTCAGATGAAAGATCAAAAATTGCACGCCGCTGTGGCGGGAAGTAAATTTCGATGTCAAAATGCTCAAGAACCTTACCCTCTGGTAAACTAACATAGCTATTGAAAATTGCCATTTATAGTGGATTTTCCCATCAAAAATGGTGATTTTCCATAGTTATGTTAGTTTACCAGAGGGTACATCCAAGGCTAAATTTTTGCAGTTGAGCTGTCGAAAAAATCCAAAAGCGACTCTGGCGGCGCCTCAGTCGCAGCTTGACCCGGCAGGATGACACACGGCCATCGCCCATGGCCAACAAGGCCTCGCGCATCTCCAGCAGTGTGGCCTCGGTGTCAACTGGTTTATAAAGCGGTTAAAGCCCATATGAAGCAACTAGTTATACACCATTAATATGGTTTTTATATATATATACCCGATTATACCCCAACTATTCATCCATCTAGTTTTAAGTAAATCAATGTAAATCATACATCATTAAAACCAGATATTTGTTGGAGTTATGTTCACAGACTTAGCTATCTAGGGGGGCCCACATTGTATGGATATAGTATATATCTAACATCACTATAGATCCATATTATATGGCCATTTGGGGATGTACCATGATAATTGTAGGTAAAAATTGATGCCCCATTAATTTTATACCATGATATTATACCATAATTCACAATATCCCCAAATGGAATATCTTATTTTTAATGATATAATATACATAATATAATGATATTTACCATTGTATGATGCCCCCTGTTCAGACCCAGTTTCACCACCTGTCCTCCATCGTGACTTTCCCCCGTGTCGAAACATCGAAGCCGTTGCTTTCAAGTTTCACCCCTTTAGATCCAACGTTCGAAACCTACGGCCGTTTGACCCTCCAAAAACCCAAAAAAACATGGGTCAAAGATGGTCAAAGTACCAGCTTAAATGATGGTGTTTTATCCCATGGTATACCGCAGCGAATTTTGATGGGAGACAAATGGAGCGCCAAGGGACCACTTTGGTACCATTGATTTCCAGGATTTCGTCACCCACCTGGCGAAACTCCCACCGGAACCATGGTTTTTTCTGGGGAAAATCCATTGAAGTTGGGAACATCCATGGTAATTTGCTGGGGAAAAAAATATAAATACACCTCTTTAAGTGGAACAAAAAGAAAACTTCTTGCGCAAGAAAATCAAAAAAAAGCGATTCATGGTTTAACAGCAATTTCAGAACCACAGAACTGCGCCATCACAATGTGATGGGGAGATCATCTCCACCAGGGCCGTGCAAAACAGGGGGCCGTGCCACGTTTGTTCGGCCCAGCGAAGTTTTTTTTGATTTTTAAAGATCCAATTTTCACTCGGGTTTATTGGATAACCTATATAGTAAAAACTGTTTTTTTCAGGATCCCAATTCCATTTATAATGTTCACTCGGGTTTATATCGTAGAATATCGAAAAAAGGACTATGGGTTTATAAACCGACATCACCGTTTCACAGTGGGCACGACCAAAATGTGGGTCCCAAGACATGACCCAAGCCCGACAAATGCCAGAGTCGTCATGTTAATTTAAAGAAGGGGATTAATGCAACAAATTTCACCAGCCTCATATTCCCAATATTATCTCCATTCCATTGGCATTCCCCAAAAAAACAGATATAGCCATAATATTGCCATAGCAGCCTCAACTCCGGACTTTGCCGCTGCACTGGCAGATGCGAAGGCCTGAAAAAATGTCGGTCATTCGAATCTGGCTTGGGCTTGTTGGGCTTAAATAAGGGCCCCATGGGATTAAACCAATTTTTTGGGACCACGAAAAATAAAAAGATCAAATACGAAATCAGGCTTTTGTTTTTTGAGAGGTATCTAATAAATCTAATACTGGGGAAGGGCTTGGTTTCCATTTTTTATGACTGGTGAGAAATGATCAACATATGCTGAAAATGATGCGTAAGAAGCATTTTTTTTGGGTTGCCATTCTTGGAAGATTGTCCCATGATCCAATTCCGGGAAATCTGTTTTTTTTCAGTCAGCAAACATGGAAGGTGGGCAATTTACATGAACGCCAAAGCTCAAAATCATTTACCAAAAAATCCATGTAACGGATCTTCACTTATATCAAAAAAAAATCAGAGATATCATGAGATATCTCAAAAAAATCTTGGAGATTTATCCCCCTCATATTACCATCTGGTAATGACTAACAGTTTGCTACTGAAAATACCCCATTTAGTTCGTTGATTTACCTATTCAAAATGGGGATTTTCTATCGCTTTTTGTATGTTTAAGGGTATCATTTGTATACCTGGCTGCCTGGTAACCAGTTACAATCCCTGGGATGATCCTGGCAGTGTTGGAGAACGCGGGAGTCCAAAAATGTTGCGATTTTTTGGGGGGATTCATCAAAACTCTGGTACGAGTTCACACTTGAATAGCTGGGTAAAATAAATGTGACTTACCCTCTGGTAAACGTTTACATAGCGAACTGGAAAATCACCATTTGTTATAGGTAAATCAACTATACATGGGCCATGTTCAATAGCCATTTTGACATAACCAGAGGGTAATATCTATGGATGGTTATAGTAATAGTAACAATAATATGGTTAACTGGTCATTTATAGATGATTTTCCCAGCGTTTGAAACCTCCATTTATGGTTGGGATTTTCCAGCCAGCAAACTGTTAGTCATAGCCAGGCCGGGTATATCTTACTTAAACCTCAATATCCCATGACGGATCCATGGTGCTGCTATATTAATGGTGTGCCAGCCGGATCCCATCAACAAAAACCCCAGTGAAATGTTAGCATTTTTCTACCAGCACCAGCCGGATCCGTCATGGGTATTGCTAAATGAATATTGCTTAATGGTTAAAATCTTACTTAAACCTCAATATTCCATGGTTGTTAAACCTCTTTCATAATATGGTTAACTATAATAAATGTAACGCCCATCCCATGGTCTTCCTTCCAGTTGTGGTTTCCCACGTGGCCCCTGGCCTTCACCAGCACGCTGGGATTCAGCAAGGTTCCACCCGCCTGCGAAAGCCACCGGAAGGTACGGGGGTTAGGTTACACGTAACCGAGCCGAACCAGTGGTTAGAATGGGAAAATCCCTCAAAAATGATGGTTAGAATGGGAAAATCCCTCAAAAATGGTGGTTAGAATGGGAAAATCCCTCAAAAATGGCGGTTAAAATGAGAAAATCCCTCAAAAATGGTGGTTAGAATGGGAAAATCCCTCAAAAATGATCGTTAGAATGGGGAAAATCCTCTATAGATTGGGCATAAAAACCATGGGTGATATGGGAAATAGCCTCTGGATCTTGGAATAAAAATCATAGCTATGGAAGCCATGGCCATAGAAATGGATGATAAAATTGATGATTTACCGTTCTTAAAAAGTTCTTGTGTTCCATAGTTACATTAAATAATCAGACATTATGATGTATAGTCATCCTGGACAAGATGCAATTATGGAATTTCAAAGGAAGGTGTTTGACAATTCCATATTCTACTGCAGAATCATTTAAGAAAACATTGGATAGCAGATACACTTAACAAGTAACTTACATTTAAAAATAAATAGAAAAACTATATACCTTAGATCTTCATTTTGCCCATTCCCATTGTCTTTTGGTGGAACCACAACCCTCTGTTTCCCATCGGCATGGCCCACCTTTACCTCCATGCCCAGTAAAGGCAAACGCCAGGGATATCCGGCCTGCGAGAAGATGACCATGATGAAATGTTGCCGGTGATTGTGTTCCATGTGAAAACCCAGTTTAATGATATGATTAGCCATTGATTATCCAGGGATTTATATCTAGATTAACCATTGATTAATGGAATTTTAATGGGGATTCTAAACCATTTCAGCACTAGTGGGATTTTAATGTGGATTTTTACCTAGATTAATCATTGATTAACCATTGATTCATGGAATAGTTTTAATCATTGATTAACCATTGAAAAAAACCACTTTGCCATCAACATACTGGGACATAACCTGCGCACGCACCTCCAAGCATTCCGCCACCGGAAGGACCCTGCAGGTTGGCTTCGGAACTCTCTTGAGTCATTCCATAATAATGTTCATATGATTAGGGATATATCCAATGAAATATGATATATAATAAATATGGATTCCATGGTATAATATATGGAATAAATTGATTAGGGATATAATCCTTAATAAACTTCCATATGAATAGATCCCTAATATTTCTTATGAATGATTGGATCTTATCCATAAATCCCTTATCTGGATAAGGGCAATGAAAGGAATTCACCACCCTGAAATATGGACATTTTGGGATAGTTGCCGCATGGTTTTCTTCGTTTTCAGTGAGGATGGAGCATCATTACTATTGCTGGCTCCACAGTTTGGTGAATTTCAGATGTTTATCTCAGTTTTTGAATGCCCATTCTTTATAGAAAATCCCATCAACAGCTTATCGTTGGTGATCTCCATGTGGTGCGGAACCCCTGGTACCCTGGTGAATACGAAATTGGTGATTCATGGATATTCATGGATCATTTTTTTGGCTGGATGTTCATCCACCCTTAGGTGCGGTTTTTGGAGTTGTTGACCCATCAAAAAGAAAACATGTGTCAAAATGCCGAAAAAAAAATCCTCCAACGACAATCAAAATCCAGGAAAAAAAACGATTGAATCTACTTTGGCTATGTACAACAATTTCGAAAATGGTTATTTATAGAGGATTTTCCCATTCAAAATGGTGATTTTCCAGAAATTAGTTATGTTAAATTACCAGAGGGTACCCATTTCGAAAATCGCAATTCCATTCACCATTCAACCACCATAAAAAACCGACGAAATCACCGTGGCACCGACCGATGAAATGGTTCTCCCCTTGACGATTTCACCGCCTCTCAACTGGAAGTGCCAAGCCGTGCTCTTCGAATTTCTTCGCCACCATGGCACAGACCTGGCACCGCTGTTTTTGTCGAAAGATGAAGGGGAAGAGTACGGACATTTTGTATATAATATATGTATGTAATATAGATATCACATATCATATGTAATATCACATATCATATGTAATATCATATATGTGGCAAGTTCTCACATTGATATGCTGATGTCGTTCACGAAAATATGCGTGCAAACATTCATGTTGCAAAATAGCAAACAAAAATGAGAAATGCGCCAGTGAGCGACGCGTCCGAAAATGGTGAAAGATCAGTGATGTTGCTTACCCAAAATGATGGAAGATCGGTGATCTGATATCAAAAATTGGCAACAATCAATGAGTTTGTTCAAGAGTAGAGGAAGATGAGAGATTTTTGCCAAGAATGGAAAAGATCACTGACTTTACCAACAAACTACACCATTTTCAAAGATGTAAAGATATCAGCGATTGAGCCAACAATACTGGGCACATACCAGATGCCCTCTGGCAATTGAAAAGTGTGCTCTCTAAAATCACCATCCTCAATATATTTCATAGGTAAATCATCTACTTTCATGGGCCGTGGCTTCCAGTTCGCAAAATGAGACAAATTGCCAGATGATAATCATCTTACAGTAAATCCCATGACATTCCCAAAATATTCCCAGGAAATATCCCAAGTATCCCTATCTTTAATAGTTCAACGCCCCATTTTTGATAGTTAAATCCCGCTGGGAACGCCAACAGCACTCTATTCAGCCCGGGGGCCCCGGGGGGCTCCTTGCCCTCCGAATTCAGCACTGGAGAGCCTGACCTGTCAATGGAAAAGCGACGGACACCTGCAGCATTCATGGAGAAACATCATCGAACCATCCTGGAAATACATGATGTTTCCCCATTTCCATGGTGTTTTCCAGGAAACCTGGAAATCATCGAACAATTCCCATCATTTTCCCATATTTTCCCATCATTTTCCAATGGAAGATGACGTTTTCCCCATGTTTTTTTCAACATGTCCTTCCCCCCACTGGGTGGCCGCTAGGTCCCCTAGGTCTTCCGGACATCCCTGGCAAGGTGGGCAGGGCCAACTGCACGAAATGCATCGATGGCTCCTCCGGAAGGCCCCGGAAACGCTGCCTGCCATGGGATGTTTCTCCAAACAATGAGGTAAAAAAATAATATCCATAATACTATCCAGATAAACACAATCCATAAAAATAATGGGATTATATACTAATAGTGGTTATATGATGGTTATATGATGGGTTAAAAAATATGTATGGGGTATTTTGGTTTATTCTGTATGGGATAATCAGAAAAATAATGGGATTATATGGGATATTGTAATAAATCTGGGTTTGTCTGAAAATAGGGTATATTCCCAAACAAATAGCCATTTAAAAACGGGATAATGATCAGCAAAACCATTGGGTAAAAAGGGGTACACAACATTTTCAGACACACCCATATGTATGGGGTATTATGGTACTATACTATGGAGTATTTGCTGGATATGATGGAGATATTATGGATATTATGGATACTGGATATACATATGTATACCTCATTTAATATCCATAATACTATGGGGGTATTATGGGGTACTATGGTACTATATAAAAATTGGTATCCATAATATAGGTATGATGGGGGTATTATGGTACTATATTTATGGGGTCTTCTCAATATCTCAATATACCTCATTTTACCCATGTATTGTGGTAGTTACCCCCATTTATATCATTTATGAGGTCAAAAATGGAAGTTTCTCCATGGATATTATGGGGTATGGGTACCATGGATTTCTGGAGAAAAACCGTGGAGGAACACCCATGGATTCGACAACTGGATGTGCCATGGGCCTTGGCTGGCTCACTAGGCCCGAGAGGCCAACGACCTCGAAAAGCTGGAGATTTGGAGATTCGGTAGCTCTCAAAAAAGGTCAACTAGTGATGGTAACATTAACTATAGATTCATGATATATAATAGATATATCTATAGATGTGATTCATTCATATAGGTTTAACTATATTAACTCCAATAACTACTGATGGTAACTATGATATATCACCTATAAAGCATAGTTATTTTGGAGTTATAAACCAACTGTGGAAATACCCTCTGGTTATGTCAACAGTTTGCTATTGAAAATGGCCATTGAAATAGAGCATGGTGATTTTCCAGTTCGTTGTGTAAACGTTTACCAGAGGGTAACTGTAATAAGCCGGACGATGATGACAAGAAAACAAGTTGTTTGTTGCAATGGCAATGTTACTGGACATTCAACCAACAAGACACCAAGAAAAACCTCAAAACAAAGAACTATGGGCGCAACCGACACACTCTTGATGATAGACAGCACAAAATATGGGAAATCCATGTCCCGCTTTCTATAACCCTGTGGAAAATCCCAGGCACTGCCAACTGCCAACGGTCTTCCCGGTGGGAAAAAATGCGGACAGATAGACGGATTCTCCGTTCTGAGTTCTGGATCTTTAGGGGATTCTGCGGATCAAAATTCTGAGATGCGAAATTAAACCGCTGAAAATTCGATGGAACTAGGGCACTGGCATCCAGCGCTATGTAGATTCACATCCAATCCGATTTATCACTTCGATGATTTAAACAAAAATGCAAACATAAGTCTGCAATACCAAAACACGTGACACAATCCAGTGCATAAAGTATCGATTAACATCCACTAGACTTTACCATGTGGGTGTGGCAAGTTTCATTTGGAAAATCATGATCAACACCGTCGAATTTTGGTGCTTTTCCCCAAGATTTTGAGGTACCCATCGCCGTTCTCAAGATGTTTCAACTATGTTTAACCATGATTTCCACCAAAAATTGGTGCTAAAGATCTCCAGAAACCCAAAAAAAACAAACCCTGGTAGAACTCTGACATCGGCATCCCAGATCCCAGCGATCAGCCCACCTCCTGGCCATGCTGCGTCATGCCGCAGACCACCACGCGCTCGCCCTGTTTCGGCAGGCTCCGGCTGAAGGTCAAGGGCGACGCCTGACACGGAGGCGACCAAGGAGGACCCGGGGGCACGGTTTTTTTTCGATGGTCGTGTGAAATGATGAAAGTAAAGTGTAATTTCAAAGGAAAATTGCCAAGTTCTTCTTGTTCATGTCCTTCATGAATTCGTGTGGGCTGATGTATTTTGTCAGTGCAGAAAATCTTGGTCCCATCTTGATGGGAACAACTCACCAGGCGAAACACTCAGTGGCTTCAGTGGCGCTGAAAAAAAATCCTCAGTTGGATGACTCCATGATCCCAGGATTTTCCAATTGTAACCACCGTAACAACGGTAAGTGACCAATCCTCCGGTTCCACCTGCACATCCAGCTTTAGGACCTGTCATGGCTCCAAAACGGAAATCGCTGCCCCTGGGGATGGTTTAACATGGTGTAACCGTTTAACCATCCCCACGCAATGTCCGTGACAGAAAACAATGTTATTGGTGGTTTCCTCGGCTTCCCATTGATAGATGGTAAACATCTATTGGTTTCATTGAGTGTTTTCTATCCCGTCACTCCCATCATTTCCAACTTGATATCAGCGCTGCCCATGAACTGTATAATTAATTTTGATTATATTGCTATTCACTTCTGGAATTTATGAAAAATCCCCCGTGAATCATCGTGAATCACCATCTCATGAAACAAAACCACATAAAATGCCAGTAAATCACCATTGATCATCAGAAATTCACCCAGATCTCCAGCACAATTCACCCAAAAAACCCACGCCCTCCCCGGAACGCCACCGACGCCCCGTCCCACCGCAACATCCGTGACGGTCGAAGAGCCGCGCAGCTCAGCGTTGGCCCAGCGCCCGTCGCCGAAGCGAACCACCAGCCGCCTGGCCGTGGCGCACCTGTTGGTGCCCCCCCATTTTCCCAGCACTTCATCTCTCTTGGAAGTCCCAAATCTGATGAAATCGCCATCATTTCTTTTCTTCACCTTCCAGCTTTGCTTTCGCCATCTCAAAACTTCCCAACCCCCCAACCCCCCAACCCCACAACCCCCCAGCCCCCTGTGATTTCTTTTTGTATTCATGTTTACGTGTCTACACAATGCTTTACAGTCTGCATTAGGACATGTAGCATGTTTACCGTAATTCACTCATAAACCGCTGCGCCACTCCGTGGCTCAAGACTTGCTGCAACCTGCAGTAAAAAGGAAAGAGTTTGCGCTGCTGACCACAAGTGTTGGGATAGGTTCCAGGGCCCCCTAATACGGGGAAAGCTACCTCAAAGTGGTAGCGGAGCCTGTGTCTCTGCTAGCCCGTAGTGTGTGCAGTCGTTGACTTCTGCATACGCTCCGAATCCGGACTTGCAGAGGCAACTTGTAGGTCGCAAATCCGTCGCAATCCGAAGTAGCTGCAATGGTCCAAATCCATAACATGGATTCGGACGAGGAACTCCAAATCGTTTCCTATGAAGAGCCTGACGCCTTTGCTGCCAGTCACGCCGAAAACCGGCTAGGTATCAAAACGACCCCAAAAGTTCCACCACAATTTGACGGTCAGTCTAGTTGGTTTGAATATGAAGACTTAATAGATGATTGGCTCGGGATAACAACATTGGATGCAGATAAACATGGACCATCATTAAAGAATGCCCTCATTGGTTCCGCCTCTTTTTATAAGTCAATGCTCGATAATGCCCTACTCCGAGATCCGGATCGTGGCCTCGCCCATTTTAAGGACACTTTGAGACCCTACTTCGTGAAGGGGGTAAATCATGTGTTTCTTTGGCGATTCTTGCAGATGTTTCGCACTTACCGAGGCCAGAGTGAATTCGTGCACTGGATTGGGCGTTTTGAGATTGCTCAGAAGCGGTTGATGGCTTCTTGGTCCGATCTGCTAGATTTATCCGATCTCCCGGAAGCAGGCACTCAGGCATTTCTTGCAGCACTCACCAATGAACAAAGAGCTGAATATAACAACATAGCCGACGAAGAAGATAGATTGACATATCAACAAACCCTTCGAGAAACCACCACTACAAACAGAAGGAACGAACATCAAAGAGCATTTCCATTGTCAGACAATTTGATGTCCCTTATTTTTCTCGTTCAAGCAGATCTCAATGAACAACAGCGAGAAAGATTTGTTTCCTCCATGAACATTCGTCAGATTGCAATGCCCCAATACACCTATCTTGGTGTCAAGCAACTGTTCTTAGAACTGTTCGCTGTTTCACGCACCGGCGTTGCCGATCCAAACATCGCTCACAGGAAGAGGTCTACGTTCTACATCGTCGACGAGGGCGAGACCGAAGAAGGTGAACACGGTTTTTGGGTCATTGATGAGGAAACAGGTGAAGAAGGTTTTACGGGACTCTACACAGAGAACGAATTTTGGGTTCTTGGCGCTAAGGGATCATACTCTAGGCGCCGAATTCACGGCCGTTCCTTCAAAAAGGGTAAACCAAAGGGTTATGGAAAATCTAAAGGAAAAAGATCAAGACCCGGCTTCCGCCCGAGGTCAAAAGGAAAAGGTTTTGCAGCATATGAAGATGACCAGCAAGACACGGCTTTCTGGGGAAAAGGTAAAGGAAAAGGCAAAAAGGGCAAGAAAGGAATGAAAGGTAAGGATTCTTTCAAAGGAATGCCTTCATGGAAAGGAAAATCAAAAGGAAAGGGAGATGCAAAAGGAAAAGGAGGAAATCCATTCATGTCGCAGCCTCCACAAGCAAATGTAGCCCAATCATCAGCATCAAGTGCATCTCAACCGCAAGTGCAAGAAAAACAATAAACAGCCCATGCCGAAGAAAGCTGGAGTTATGATTATGACACATATTGGACAGATGACTGGTCAGGTTATGGTTATGAATCCTACTATGGATATGATGGAGATTACTCCCAAGGTGATTGGTACAATTGGTCGTACTTTGCTTACTTTGAGGAACTGACCGAATCCGAGAGCAAGCATTCAAACATCATTTCTGAGGACGGACAGACGGACCAGATCAACCGGTTCTGTTTTTCGGCCATTTGCTTGTTCCGAATCCACGGACACGAACTTGTAGAGGCACTCGCATTCATGCTTCTGTTCGTGTCCCTGATGTACCAGTGCTTTGCAGATTTGAGCAGGTTTTTGTTTTTGAGCATTCGCCCAGTTGAGAACAGTGTTTCCACCGCATCCGGTGATGTGCACTTGTACAGACAGCATCCGAGCGCATCCGATTCCGTCATCATGGAAGATTTTGCCTTTCTCAATTATGATCATGGTGCCCAACAAGCCTTACTTTGTGAATATGTAGATTTATGTTCTCATCCGACTTATGTCATACTTGATTCAGGTTGCACCAGAGCAATGGGATCTCGTTTTGCCATTGATCGCCTTGTACAGGCTTGCCAACAGCATCCGAAGCGTGATCACATCTGGTTTTCCAAGCAGCCATGTTCTAGTAAGTTTTCATTTGCCAATGGAGAACAGTCTACAGTAAAGGAACGACTTGTGATTCATTTTCGTAATGATCAAGCACACACAGGTTGGATCACAACATGCGTTGACATTCTGGACAAAGGTAAGGTTCCAATTCTATTTTCAGTTGAACAGATGAGGAATCTTCGAATGAACATTGTGCATACTCCCGTAGGTGAGTTTCTGACTTGTCCACTCTTTGGAATGCAACGCACCGTCCTTGCGGTCAGTACATCCAACCATCCAGTTCTTGACATTATGGCTCTTGCAACATCCAGTTGGAAACCGATGTACAGCTTTCAGTCCGAAGACATCACTTGCCCAGCATGTCATGGTAAACATCGACCTCATACCAATAAAGAAGGTTGCAAGAAATTCAAGGAATCAGCACCCGCGCCGAAACCGGCCAAGTCTGTTCCGAAATCCAATGCCAAAACAATAATTCAGCCTGATCACAAGTTAGAAATACCAGATCCGCCTTTTGATCCTGACAATGAGCCAATGGTAGCCTCTGGACCTAGTTCCGGTTCCAAGGACGGAGTTCCAAGACGTCGGGAACCTCAGATAGAAGAAGAAGCAGAGGTCAAGTCGGAACCAAAGGTGGAAGTAAAACTTGAAGAGAAAAAGGAACCGTCACCCAAAGGAACACTGTCACTTGCACTTCAGAGAATTCATGATAAGCTTCAATCATCTACTGAACTTTTAAAATTGCATTTGAAGCCTTATCACATGTTAACTGAACAGTTTAAGAGAAGAACATCAGCTCTGAAGTTGCCGAAGGAAATATATGACAAGTTTGACCAGATCACCAAATCATGTGACACTTGTTCCAAGGCCAAGATTGCACCATCAAGAGCTAAGGTTTCAGGAATTCGAAGTGAAGCTTTTGGTGAACTTACCTTCATTGATCATGGAGAAGTTTCTATCAATCCTCAATCCAAACTTCAATTCCTACTTTTGTATGATGGTGCCACATCACTCACTACTGCCTTTGTAGTGCAGAACAGGTCAGATCCAGTGACGATTTCCCATCTTCAAGAGTACTTCGAAACATATCAGCTGAATCCAAAATACATTGTTGCCGATCAAGCATTTATGGGCACTGAAATGGAGAACTACTATAGCAGGCACAACATAAGGCCAATCTCTTTAGGACCAGGCACTCCTTGGCCAAACAGAGCTGAAGCAGCTATACGCATGTTTAAGAAGCAGGTTTCTTTGATGCTACTTTCCTTGAAAGATGATCCATTGCTTGCCAACATTACTTATAAACAGTTGTTGAGACAAGCCTGCATTTCTAGGAATACCATGGTTACCCAAGGCGGTGTAACTCCAATTGAATTAGCATTCGGAAGAAGACCTGCCGACTTAACGGCGACTGAACTCATGAATCCTGCTCAGCTCACTTCTGAGGCACCTGCTCCTGAGAGACAGATTGAAGCACTAAGGTCGCTGGCGATGCGAAAGTTTCTTGAGGCAAAACAATCTGATGACCTTCGAAGAGACATTGCAAGTAAACTCCAATTAAGTGATGGACCATTCTTTCCAGGTGACAAGGTATACTATTGGACCGAAGACAAATCAAAAATAAAATCAGACGGTTCACATGGAGGAAAATGGATTAAAGGAAAGTTGGTCTCAGTTGATGGTAGCATGGTAGGAGTTGACTTAGGAACTAGAATCGTGAAGGTTAACATCAGCAAGATCCGAAAAGACCACAATCCGATCGAAGATGTAGATGTACCTCTTGATCCTGCCGCACTTGCCAGTGCCGCCACTGCGGCCAAAGACACCTGTACAGCAACATTGAAGTCCACATGCCGAACCGATGACTTTGCCAATACGATCATGCAACATGATGCCTCTCAGATAGGTCCTGAAGGTATTCAGTATGGTCAGTATGTTTGGGAACCTGTAACTAAAGGTAAGAATGATTTCTTAGAAATGTTTAGTGGTTCCGCCAAGCTTAGCCAATCGGCAGCCATGCAAGGACTTCGTGTTGGTTCTCCCATAGATCTGAGAACAGGTTACGATTTGCTTACTGCCGATGGACGGCGAAAAGCAATGGAAGTCATTGAGCAACAACAGCCAAAGATCATCCACATGGCACCTGTTTGTGGGCCATGGAGTCAGATGCAAAACATCAACGATCCATCCGATACTTATCATTAAAGGACCGGATAACCCCACAAGTCAACTTCTTCCAACAAGCAACAAAAGAAAGGCAAAGACGGCATGGGGTAAGCAAGAAAGAGAAAAGAGATGGTGAAGGATTGGTGTGGAGTAAGTTATGTGTGGACGAGTATGTGTGAGTAAGTTGTGTATGGATGAGTTGTGTTTGTGTGTGAGGTGTGTGTGTGTGTGTGCGAGTATGTGTGTGTGGTGTGCGGCCACGATCAAAGATGCCCCACGCCAGGAAGTGCGGCGAAGGGCAATCGATGCGTGACCATTGATTATGTGTCCGCAAACGTACAGCGCAGACCATCACGAAAACGGATGGCCCACGACTGGCGTTTGGATGATGTGTGTGTGTGTGTGGTGTGTGTGTGTGTGCGTGGGCGTGTATGTGTGCGTGCGTGCGTGCGTGCGTGTGTGCGTGTGTGTGTGTGTGTGTGTGTGTTGTCTG